TTTACATTTTAAAAATACAAATTACACTACCTACGGCAACGTTAACATTTATACATTATACATACTTAGACGACTCGTGCCTTTTTGCCGCATAAATTCGCGTGAATTCGGGAAAATCAATAAAAACACTGTACCTACACAACGTTCATACATACTGGAACGTTTTTTTTTTTTTATAAAAAACAACACAAAATATACTATTCCTGTCATGTCAAATTAAAAAAACTACAAAAAATATTTTTTTTATTATTTTCCCTCTGCAGTATACACAGTACATATAGTACAGTACAGTATATAGGGTATGTTTCGAAGGGTGACGTACGTTATATAGTATACTAGACAGCAATTTTGTATTCATTTTTTTTTTATTTATTAATCTTTCAATGGTTTTTTTTTTCATTTAACTACAGGAATAATTTCTGAACATCCACAACAGTATATCCGTATACCGTATTATATAGGTAGAAGAAAACCATTTTCGAAAAGATAAAATTGTGTTTCACGGCGAGACGGAGAGAAAAATATACAATGATCGATATTGCTGTTAAAAAAAAAACACGAATATTTTGCATCATACTATTTTTCGATTTGTGCAAAAAAAAACGTGATTTGGTACCGTAAAAAATGTCGACAATTTAATACGCATAACTTCAATGTTCGTCACAAGTGTTACTATTTTTTTCTGATTCAAAACCATGAAAATAAATAATTGTCCGTAATTGTCGTTTAATTTTCGTTTGCCGATTGTAAATTGTTTTGTACCCGGTGAAAAACAAGGAATCAAAATTTTAACGAAACACGTTTAAACCGTACACGAGTTCCGTTCAGAATCGAGGGTTTTTCCCCCTAAGATTTATCACCGCGTTGACAATTCAAACTGAATTATAAGCCACTACTATTCCCCGCTCTAACCTTCACAAAAATGCAGGCCTATACACGTACACATCGGCTATTTTATAGTTTCTGTTTAGGAACTCACAACATTCCAATTTCCATATCGTTCAGCTTTCGGATCGACGAAATGTCGATAAATAACTCCGTGGAGCTATGAGACGGTATAGCAGATACAGCGGCGGTAATCGGTTAAAAAACACTGGCACAGACACGAAAATCAATGGAACTTTCCGACATAATACACGTAATTAAGACGATCTATAAACGTATCGAAATATACACGCGGAGTTAATTTCAACACACTACGCCGCGGGTATAAAACAGGGTCTAATTCCTAATCGTATAATAATTATAGTAGGCCGCTCGTCCGCGCGACCATTTTAGTTTCAATGTTTCCGTCAGGGGGTACCCTGCGGTCAAAAGTCGAACAGTCGCATTTACCGCGACACCGAGTAATACAAATCAAAATATAAAATAAAATAAAAAAACCGCACGACGAAATTAAATTTTAAAATGTCGATATTGGTACCTACCTGCAACAGAAAACTGCGCTATAAAAACTGATTTACTGACCGAGGGACAAAAAAAAACGTCTCAATTCCGATTGAACATTTTCACGCTTAGGCGATTTCAGACTATATACTGTATATTGGTAATTGCTGTAGTCGAATAATACTATTATAAACGTGCCGTTCACCGAGTTCTAAACCGTTTTTTCTTCTACAAGAATGCGCTTACATTGTTATTGTTATTGAATTAAATCACGAGACCCGAACGGCGACAAATGATTTTTTTCGCAGCGTGTTATTTTAATCAAATGACATAAAAAAAAAAGGCGATACTGCTGCAGTTTGGTGTACCACTGGAGGAAATTCGAGGTGTTTAGGATGCATTCAGTTTTTTTTCTGTCATTATCGAATCTGAGTGTTTAAAAGGATAGGATTGGAACAGTCTTTTTTTTGAAAATCAAAAGTTCATAATAGGTGTTTACAAGCATGTCGAAAATGTTGTACAGATTAAATATATTAAACGACTCGCTATAGTTCCTGAAAAATCGATTTTACTCGAAATCTTTGTATACTATCATTGGTTATATTATGTAATATACAGAAAGTCCTTTCAACGGTCACGTTTGGCAACCACCCATATAGGTTCACTCGGGGGTCATCTCTAATATGGGGGGAGGGCGTGTAGTGCCAAAGCCGGGGATCTCACATTTTTTTGTATCTTAGATTTGGGGCCTCGTGTTCGGTGAAAAAATACGAATCGTAATAAAATAAAAAAATTTAATTTCGGCCTGTGAACCTGGTAAATCCTAAGGACGTCCCCTCGCCGAATATTACTACTGCGTGGATTATGTCTGAACAATGTATAATCAATTATAACGATACTATATCGCGTATATAACCGCCAGATCGTGATAAAAAAAATAAAAGAAAAAACCCTTGGTGAGAAATGTATATATATATATATATAACATATATAACTTATTTGTATCGTTTCCTAAACGAATTCACAACCCTAAATTATACTATTAACAAAATATTGTTGAACAGGAAGTATCAGTGGCGTATTTGAGGGGGGTAAGGGCAATGGGGGCGATCGCTCCCCACCATTAATTAATTTGTGCAGGTATTTGTTACATGCATGTGCATATATAAAAAATGCTCAAAATCTCCTTTGAAATTGAATGTTCTGGTATTTCTGCTAGAAAAGTGTCATCAGACACAAAATTTAAAATTTAAAATACTTTATTGTAAGATCATTAGGGTAGAATATGAGCTCGTGTATGTGCCTTGCGTATAATAATTTTAGTGTCGCCACCCTCCACCCCGACCAAGTCAAATACGCCACTGGGAGGTATAGGTAGGTGCCCGTTATAAAATCCTACGTAAAACGGGTTTTTCACGAGTGCGAGAAGAGCTGGTGACGTGTTCGAGGTACAATAATAATAATAATGATAATATCATGTTCTCGTATAATGTATAGTTTCTATATACTTCGGAATTCGACGGAGGTATTTTAAGACGGTAATCATATCATTAATATAATAATAATAATAATAATAAAGTCGTGTTTTTCGTTGTTTTGTACGCACAGGCGACGGTTCCATTGACGAGGCGGAATTCTGCGAAGTTTGCCAAAACAACGGCGTGCCTGCTGCGGAAGCCGCGGACGCGTACAAACGCTTCTCAAAGGTTGGTGATCCCCCCGCTCGTCTCCGGACGCCTACTACTTCCCCCCTCCGACGGCCGTCTCTCCCATTTCGACGCCGACCGTATCCCCAACAGACTCGAACAACACTCCCCGTCCCGGTTTTCCACCTAACGATTTATAATCCTGCTTACATGTATAACTTCGGCGCTTTAATATATGCCGCCGCGGTAAAGTACAGTAAAGTAAAGGCGGGCCCGCGACTACGGAAATCCGTCTGGAAATTAATGTGACCGGAAGCCCATTTATTCGCACTGCGCGCGCGAACAACGCCACCGTGACTCGTATAACGCGACACAATATGCTATACTATACATACTGCAGTAATCGGATAATTTATACAGTTGCAAATATATTAAAGACGCAGATAATAGTTATAAAGACCGCGGTGGCGTAGCCAAGGGGGGGGGAGGACTAAAGAAACTGTAGCCTCGCCCACGGACCGAGTTCACGTATGTATACTATTTTACACGATTCGTGCGGTAACTACGTTTTCAGTTATTTCTTTAAAAAAAAAAAAATGTATGTTTTCTACAACGAACCGTATATGAAAACGTGTTGAAGTATGATAACTATGTCCGAAAATAGACTCGACGGATTACCACACATGGGTAATATGAATCAAAATTAAGACAATAAAATGTGAATAGTATACATTCACTAACTTTGCTCAAAATCGTCCGAAAATGACGCATCTGTTATAACGGTGCAGTGAGTACCTACAGGTACTTATATCTAGGGTATATTATGTGCCTAATACGGGCCTTCGATACAGATATTCGATTTCCTGATTTTTCCTCATCCTGGTTGTTTATTTTAATGTACATTTTACAATGATTATTGATATCTTTGTTTTTTGTTTCAGTAAAATTGTAAAAATAAATAATGTAACTCGTATAGATATTATAGGTACTTACTTATAATCAGATGTTCGATACGTTCTCTGAAAGTTTCCGCTCCTCGACGAAAACGTTATTCCTTTCGATATTTCATTGAACGCAACAATTCTGAAAATAAAAATAAAATAATTAATATTTATCATATTATCGTTTTCGCGATGTGATACGTATACGTATACGTACCTTAACAGCTAATAATAAATTCTCGTACAAATATAGAACAACAACCCTCCGAGTATGGTTTACGGAAAATCATCGGACAAAAATTATGTCATAGTAATTTTCGATGTTGATTTTCAATAAGGTTGGTATAGTTAATAAAATAATACTACCTATGATGGTGAAGAAATATCAAAACGCAATGACGTCACAAAAAATAAAAAGATATTTTGGTGAGTTTATTTCCACCCCCTCCACCCCTTTTGACCCGCTGTAGATAAATTCGGTTTTTCGAGTGACAAAGCCAAAAAGTTAACATCGAATTTTGAAATAAAGCCAGAATTGCCCGAACGGACAGCAGCCCTGCAGTTTAGAGGTAGGTGGAGTGGAGTGTGGGTATAATGTTAAATACTGCAGCGATATCGTGAGTTTGTCTACTCTACGAGCTATATTATAAAAACTGTAGAGCGTTATAAAAAAGAATTCCTGAAAACCGATTGTGGGTATTTTAAAAAACACGACATTTATACAAGGTACTTATTATCGATCATTTATACACACGTTTTCTAACATTTCAACGTAAAAATATCATTAATTTTCAAGACTCAAGCAGTTATTCTAACTTTTTTCCCCCACCGGATAAATGACGAGCGTTCGTTTTTTTATAATTATCACGCTATTATTTTAATGGATTTAGATACTCTAGTTTATTTGAAGTTCACAACAAATTAACATTTTTATTTATTTTGTTTTTCTAATTTAACCCGAAATTATTAACATTGTATTTAGAACAAAAACATTTTTAACTATTTGTTTTTACTTTTCGTATGTATACAGAACGGCACAATTCAAGTGTCTCACGACGAGTTCGCTAAATACTGGGTGGAATTTTTCGCTTCTGAAGATCCGGCAGCTCTGGGCAACTTCATCTTCGGCAAGACATCATTCGACTAAACGACAAGAGGTTTCGGAAAACACGCGCATCGTCTTTTTTTTGTTAATCTTTTTCATTATAATCTAATAACATTTTAAATCGTGATCGATAAGATATCACTTACTTACATTATAATAATACTTACAAAGACGTTTTAATCATTAGATTCTCTTTATAGATATTATATTATTAATAAAATATAATAATAATAATATTCTACTTAGATGAGTATACATTTACATAAAGTATACATAGCGATTAAATTTATTCAATCTTATTTAAATAATCATAATATATTATAATATACTTACTTAGGCAATTCTTTGTACGTATTTTTGTTTGAGTTTTGTGATAAAATGTACGATATTATTCAATGTTATAATATTACTCGACAATAATAATAACAACAACATTATTATCGACAACTTTCATTAGGTACCTATATATTATAATTCGTTATTATATTATATGCACCTAGAGAATATTAAATTTTGCATTCATTCGTGACTTATTCGCATTAAAAAAAAATAATACATGTAATATCATACCGTGTATACATGTGTACGTTCATATTTAATAATAATTTAAAAATATAAAAACTTTATCGTACGATAAACATCATTTACGAGAAAAAAAACGTTTAACTTAATATACGCACGGTTCTAAACTACTACTACCTTATGTTTTTATAACACGCAATTGGGAATTGATAATTATTATTAATACGTTGATAATATAAACGGAAATATTCATTGATACGAATAACCTCAGGAAAAATGCATTTTATACAATTCTTTTCAAAAGAAATGATAATAGTAATATTATATTATTTTATTCGCTACAACTAACTCGTTGCCAAATATAATAAGTACATAATATTCCTTAAGGTAACAACAACAATTCAATAATACTAATCATTACAATAATAAGGTATATCACAAATCTCATAAAATCACACGTACTTTGAATAATAATAGTTCTATAATTCTAGTTATTATAATAATAATTTAACTTTATTAGATTATCAAATTAAATTGATATAATAATATATGAGAACGGTAGTAATAGACTAATATTACTCTATAATGTAATAATAGCTATAATAGTGGGATTTTTGAATATTAAACATAATATTAGAAATTTGTTTAAAATAATAATATTGTAGTTTTTAATGGCTAATTAGTTTAGTTACGTGTTGAACATGTTTGTACGCAATCATTGTATTTGTTTTTTTAATAATAATCTTTGTATTTCTCGGAAATACAACAAATTTTAATAAGGTAATTGACATTTCTGTCATTTCTGTAGTGTTTTTGAATCGAAAAATATACATTCATAAAAATATAAAACGTCGTTTGAATCATTACAATATTATACTTGTTTACTTGTCCCTGGTCAAACTCCTTCGGTCGACTCATCCGCAGGAACGACATCAGCATTGGACGTCGTTTGTAATCGATCGTTAGACCTCGCTACCTGTCTGGCATGCACTTCATCTAGTCGAACGGATATCACATCACTCCTAGCGTTCGTCTCACTCACCTAAACAAAAATAATAATAATATCCACTATTAGTTGCCTATTGAAAATATATATATATATACGGTAAATTAATAGATTACCGTAACTAAAAGTTAGATCTAGATATCTTACAGTAGGTATATAATACACCTCCACCCGCAGTGGCGCATTTAAGAGGGGCGAAGGGGGCGAATGACCCCAGTGACAAAATTTTAAGTTTTAGGGGCGGAAGTTTTATTGAGTTTATTAATTTTTGTTTTTATCACAAAATGTATAACACTTAATAGCATCATTGATTAAATTATCAAAAAATAAGCACGCTGGAACATAGATAAAACTGTTCGCTTTGTGGTCTTAATTTCTGTATCTACTGTAAACACAAGAAAAATTGAGTAATCATCCGCAAAACAATTTTTAATAGGAAAAAAAAGTCCACAAAGTCAAATTTGTATAACAGATTTCTTTAATTGTATTTAATAAATTGATTAATCTATGATTTTATTTTTATAAGTAATTGGTAATTGTTGTAAGCGCTGTTTTTATAAGTATAAAAGGACCACGAGTAATTTTATGTCGAGAAGGGTCGTCTTTTGTATAGACCTTTTGCTACACTGTGTAATCTTAACTTTGTATCCCCAAGTAATAAGTAATATGCAATAACAGATTATCTCATCAAATAATTTTGAGTTGAATGTAAAATAAGTGAAACGACCAATAACATATACAATTTACTTATGTCATTATTTGATACCTATGATTTTTTATTTGAATGAAACACTTTGAAATTGTTAATTGTTAAACCCTAGGATAAACATTTTAAAATTTCATTTAAAATAAAGCAAGAGACACATTTATCAGTAATTGAGAGCGGAGAGCGAAGATCTGAGGTTGTAAAGAGTAGTGGGTGAAAATATGTGAAAGGAGAAGGGCAGAAATAAAAATTATTCTTAATACACCACTGCCCACCCCCCTAAAAGCGAATGAATAAAATAACAAGACGAATGTAATAGGTAACGTACTAAATGATTTATACTTTTACAAAGAATAGATATGTACAGAATATTAATTAAATGTAATAAATAAAAAAATAAAATCTATAAACTTTAATTATTTGGACAAAATAATAATAATTTTAAATTGCTTTATTTAATAGAACATTTGAGATCTTAGTCTTATCAACACCACTAGTTAGGCCCAAAAATATTAATTTGGAAAACCAACAAAAAATAATAATAATTTACGCAACGTATTTAATAGCTTTTAAAAATATTTTTAAATTGAAATAATTATTCTAAATTAGTTTTATATTGTTTAACTTCAATATTAATACAATAAATACAATAAAAAACTTTTATTTTACTTACTTGTCGAAATAATCCCAAACACTGTTCTTCCAATCTTTTTAATCGAGCTGCTCTTCGTTGAAGTCTTTCCTCCTCATCTGGCCGTAATACTACTGTATTTTCCTGAAGTCTTTCTTCTTCATTAGATTTTGGAACAGTCGCATCTATTTGTAAATTATTTGTGTTTTCATCATTTGACTGCAAAATAATTTCAGTCGAAGTACTTGTTCCAGGTAGCTCAACTAATATGTCTGATAAAGTAGTGCTATCTACATTTTCTGATGTTGTGACCGGTCGTCCAGGCCGACTGTATTGTCTTTGCAATTCCTCCAGTCGCTCACTAATAGAGTCACTGGTTCGGGAAGTACGTACCATTTGATTAAGCAGTGCTCTACTCTGTTCCTCTAGTCGTTTAACTCCAGTTGGTTTGGTTTCTGACTGAGGTTCGTCTACTGTTTCTGTTTCTGTTTCTGAATTTTCCATAGATAATGTTTTCAGCCAATTCTCATCTTCATCACTACAAGCTCCACTATCAACATTGGCCACTCGGCTCTCATCGTCTTCGAATCCACTCTCTACTGATGTACTACATTTTCTCAGGGCAAATTCTTCTCGTAATGATTGCCAATCTTGTTCCGATTGTGTATTCTTTAATCTAGCTTGATCCCATTTTTCTTTACAGTACTCTAGTTCCCGTTTTAAACCAGTCAATACAGTTCTCTTGTGTTGCAATTCATATCTAAGAATTTTCTCATGGGTGTGAAGTTTTCTATGTTGTGCGTTAAGCTTAGTTACAGCATTCCATGCATTACCTAATTCTGCAGAAACAGTCGATAGCCTCTGTTGTTGATGGCCAAGTCTAGATTCTAAATGGTCATTGAGAGTCTTTAGCCTACCAATATCTTTTATCAGAGCATTTTTTTCAAGAATAAGATCTTTAAGTTTCAAAAATGTTCTACTTACAGTAGCAGCCCTAGATTCGTTTCTATCGTCTGGCTTTGACTCGTTCGATGTTTTATTATCATAATGTCCCAAAAGTTCCACAAGTATTCTCCAAACTTTTGGCAAATTTGAAGCAATTTTTTCCCGATTTGTTGTACATTCTGCTTGTTCTGAACGTTCCAATGTATCGCCAGCAATATCCATCAACACAGAAGCAGTTTCGTTAATATCCCCATTGAACGTCAAATCTGATATCAACTCTCTATTTTCTTCTAGCATACGAGCGAATCGATCGAAATCCGGTCCTTCATCACCAGATAATAACGTGGAAAATAAATTATTTACCAATGACATTTGTGATGCAAGGCTCATCCTGTCCGCGGAGGTAGTCATATATTTTGCCTTCATTTGTTCGTACTCAGTTTGCTTGCCTTGTACCTCTGTTTCGAGTTTTGCTATGAAATCATTCATGCCCTGCTTACTGGTAAGTTCTTCGGCAAGTTTAGCTTCCAGTTCAGAATTTTTAGCTCTCTCTTTATCCATTTCCATTTCGTGACCCATAGCCGCTGCTTTTGCTCGCTCCTCATAAAGCTGTCTTAAATTCCTAATATTGTCGATTTGCTTTTGGTACTCCACCCGCAAATCAGCTAAACATTCGTCCGCATGCGATTCCATTTCTTGCAATCGTTTTTTTAAATCAGTTACCTATTATAGATGCATTAAACATATATTCAACACATTCTGGTATGTATGCCATATATAGGTACAATGTATAAATCACCTGTGCCTCTCTGATTTTCAACATATCATTACTGATGTTTGCAACTTGCTTAAGGGCTTTGACCTGTTGCTCTAATCCGTTTTTTTCTGTTCTCACCATTTCCAGTTCTTCTTTATACTCTCTCAATCGGTTCATCTCGGTCTTAATCGATGCAAGAGCATCGTGCCGCCGTTCACGTATACTAGCTAAATACCGATCAAACTCATCTGGCTCCTTGGCGTCAGGACTAACAATATTCTCAATAGAATCATCAACAAGTTCCTAATATGTACAAAAATAAAATAATTATTTTATGTTTGAATAATAAATAATGTAATATTGTTACTGGGGCTGGTAATGCTGGCATATCTACCGGACGACTCCAAATTGCGCCCATCGCTAATAATTATACTGAAACAATAATAATAGTAATAAATTAATAATTTAAATAAAATTCAAATCTAATTTGGTTCAAATTTGATACGTCAAAAATAAACATTGTCTATAATCTATTTTTATTTTTTGACCTGTTAATTCACATTCTTCTAAAGCATCTAGAACAACGACAACATATAATATAATACATTAGGTAAATTAAATTAGTTACCCACTCAACAAACTTATCGTTAAAATATGTGACATAATTTTAATTTAACTTATCAGCGTTATTTTTAGTTTTTTTAATTCAAAATTTTTATTTTCGTGTGTACATTAAAAATTCTAACAAACTTAGTTTGAAATTTATAGGGAAACTTCAAAAAGCGGTTCTTAATTGTAGCATTTAATAAATTCAAAATTGTTTCAACAAGTATATAATTTAAACTTTCCCAACGTACTTACTTTTAAAGTTTTGCTACATAATAAAATAAACCCGACACAGTTTTGCACAACAAATCGGGATTTATTTTCAAAAAAATTCCTTCATGAGCTCGCAAAATTTACAACATAATACAACTGATTTTATTTTTAATTAAGAATCGTTAAAGCTTTTTAATTGTAAATGTTTACGATTTGTAAAAAAGACCACGAGTAGGATGACGTCCGAACAGTAAAATTACACGAGTTCGTTTTCGGGTTTATTTGTCACAATGGATAAAATATATTTTCCACCGTTTAACAATCATGTACAGAAAGAAAAAACAACATTCGCTGTACACTCTAGTAGTTTCGAAATTGGCTCGGTTACAAGAACCGTGTACGCGCTCTATTTATCAAAGTAATTGAGCATCGAGTATGATTGTAGACATAATACGTGTTACATTAGCCCGTTTAAAAATTTGACTTTGATCTTTAAAAATTGATAAAAAAAAAACACTTAACTAACATTTTTATTGGGTATCTTAAAATATATTGTTATTGACGGGTCGGTGGTGGCGATGTTTTACAAACATGTTTTTTATTATTTTTCTTGAAAGACACTTGTTTTTAGCACGTGTGTCGTGGATATACATATATTTGTCTACCGCGGAGCCTCCTACTAAATTGAAAACAAAAAAAAAAATGGAATATCTATAATACAAGAAATCAATACTGTTTTTAATATATGCGAGTTAACAAACTAAAGTGCTTTTAAGTGCACAGTTATACTCAAAAATAGTACAACATAAAATCAGTTCATGTGAACAGTTAAACTAACAGGAATGTCACGGTAAATTTAAAGAAACGGAATACAACTCGAAAAAATTTAGTACAAATTCAAAAATAAAAAATTGTTCAAATCCGTTTTGGCAAAATATAAATACATACATGGTATATAAACACACCGCTGGCTAATTGGACCTCACTCGCACATTTCGCTTGACCAAAAATATCCTATGTGCGATGTACGTGTGGTATTACTATACAGTCTGAGGAATAGGTCAGCACTCAAACACAGCTCCGTATGACTTTCAGACATTTAGAGTACACTGTTAGATGTTTTTTTTTTTTTACACAAATTCTTAATTCGATATAATAAACTATGTTTTGGTTTTACTGCGAGTGTCGTCTGATCGGACGTCGAATAATGATAACGGACTAAAACGCTGTTTTGAAGGTTAGGGGGAAAAGAGTAATAAACCAGACTTATTTAATATTTGACGTGGTTTTTAAAATTTTCTCCAATAATAGGTATCTTGGTATTTGTAAATTATTTATATTTGTTAATGACGAGACTTTTCCATTGATCTACTGCCCGATACTCGTTAACGGGAAATCGGTCCGAATTGTATGGCTTTTAGACCAGCAATAAGCGATGGGAAATTAGACATAGTACCCCACATCCATTTCGATTTTTCAACTATGTACGGGTTTGTCGACAAATCGTCTAAGTTATTTTGGAAATGGATTTGTCTACTAAAATTCGGTATGTCCGAAGTAAATACAAAACAATATTGTGTAACGTGGTTATTTCACGGAATTTTTAAAAATGCATTTCTTAATTAGGAGGTCTTCGCGAAACTGTAGAAAATCGAAAATCGATTTCGTAAATAATTCGAAAAATGTGTCGACAAACTACATTACAGATTAAAATCGGACCTTTAGAATTTTGTCTAATTTTCCGCCACTTATTAGTCTAAAACGTATGGAAAATACGTGAGCTCCAACCACGGTAATAGGAAAATCGTTTTATTGGTGTCAAATGATCGTAGAAGTGAAAATAATAAAACTAAAGGTGAAAAACGTTTATCGAAATTAAGAATCGCAGAACGGTATATATATATATACTAGCAGTGCCAGTGACGGATTTATAGGGGGGAGAATTCAGGGGGTCTAGACCACCCCCCAAACACCGATATAATTTCAATGAAACATCGTTTAAAGAAAAATGAGGCATCTATTAATAGATACATTTAAAATATGTATAATTTGTCAGAACCCCTTTCAGAAAAATGTTTAAAATCCGACGTTGAACAACGGTACGTCCATGCAGACATTCACACAGGTTAAAACTAACAACCGTGTTTTACGAAGAATGAAAAATCTTTACAGCGATAAACTCGGACAGTGCTTGACATCAAAAAAAGATTTAATCGTTAGATCCGGAATGTATTATTTTTCATTATTGCATGATCAATCGAAATAAATCGGATCGACTTATAATGTATGTTCCGGATCCGATATAAATTATTATGTTTTACCTGTTCGAACAAGGCAATAATTCGGTCGAGTGTGAAAAAATGACGAACAATTCAAGGACGAATATAAAGAGAATAGGGATTAAAGGGTTAAATTTGTATTAACTCTCTCGAGTCGGTCAAATCAACATTCGTTTTCAATACGACAGTCGAGATAATAAATGATATTAGTTCGAAAGATTTTGTATGTATTTTTTTCAAAATTAAACCATTTTATTCAGGCGGGAAACAGACGATTTCCACCGGTAAATTACTATAAGGAATTGGTCGTCTATCCGCCTGCGTATAACATTACGGATCCGGATCAAAACTGAAACGAATCCGGAAAAAGGATAATACCGAGACCGTAAGCGGGGCGGGGCGGGCCAGCGTGCGAAAGTCTACCGAAATAGACGGCCCGAGAAACGGACCAAAACGTACGGTAACTAACAATGGCATCCCGGGACGAAATTGAGGTGCCTTCGGTGCAATAACGGACTAACCCAAAATGGATGTAAGACAGACTAATCCGCTTCGGTCTATTCTTGCACTTAAAATTATTAATTACATTAAAATACGATAACGGTTCGGGTGCTGTCATCTAACGATAATATTAAGCAAAGGTGGCTCAGACCGATTTTGCATTAAATTCGATATTAATAACGTCTAATCGATATGCAATGTTTTCGGGTCGGTCCGTTATCGCAGTGAATTATGATGGTTAATAATATTACGATATTGACTAGTGTAATAATAACGTGCGAACGCGTTAGTTAATCAACAAAACGCTCGATAACCGTTAATACGTATTAATATTCGTTTATACATAAACAAATTGATATTTATTAGTCATTTATTAATTCGTTGTATCGTGACAATTTTACCTGCAGTTCGCGGCGCGTCTGAATTTGCTTTCGCCGGGATTCGCGTCTCGGTATTAACGGGTGTCCGCGTGCGCCGTGTGCCGTTGGTGCGCCCAGTGTGTGCCCAGCGTGTGCCGCGCGCGTACGGCGTGACGGTGTCTATAATTACAATCTGCTGCTGGCGGCGGCGACTCCTCCGCGGTCGACGGCGAATCGGCGGGACGTGCGGGCGCCGGACCGCGCCGCCGCCGCAACGGCATAGCCGAGCGAGGAGTCTATTTTTAGGACGCCAGATACGCAATTACGCGGCCAAATTCAATCGCATTTCGCCAGGCGGCGGACGGAACGCGTACGAGGGTGCAACGGCTCGGCGAGAGTACCGGCGGACAAGAGGCAAGAAGCACAGAAACGACAAGGGAAAAAAAAAATGATATTCGCGGGGACGATATCATTCAGACGGACAAAGGAACCGCGACGACGACGACGACGGGTCATAGCCTCGGGCCGCGCCGCTCGTGCCGCGGAGTGGTCGTGTCGTCATCGTCGTCGCCGCGTTTTGTCGGACGACGGACCGTTCGCGTGTTGTTGGCGCGTCGCCCGTCCCTTGTTTGTTTCCGGAAAACGCAATTCACGAGTATTAGTCCCCGCCGTGTTCGTCGGGCCAAATGATACACGGAGGGGAGGGGGAGGTCATACGCGCGGGGCCGTTAACCCTCGTCCTCAATACCGAAAGTCCAGAACCGCCTGCACGTCACACATCCGTAAACTGTACAATTAATATCATAACAGTATAAAAGTATTTATTATCGGTATAAGCATTTAAAAAAAAAACATTTCATTAAAAACTCTCGAAAGCTCAAAACCGGTCACCTTTTAAATTACAAAAAAAAAAAAAACACAGAAATGCGGTATTTCGAAATTGCCAAAGTAATACAATCAGCTATTGTATAACATGTCTGGGCGGGATTTCGTCCTAGATTCATTGTATACACGTTACGGAGTATTGTCGAATAGATTTTGCCACGATGCGTAATCGTTTAGTTTACTGCAGCGAGTTTACAAAAAAATAAACTCGTAATCGCAATCGATATACTTCGATTCATACTTTAATCATTTAAAATAATTTTGTGCTGTAATTGTTATTAAATATTATTCGTGAACGTTAAATTTCAAAAAACAATCCCACGGTTAGTCGAAAATCCGCATGCGAGTTACACGCCCCACCTATTACACGGCTGTTATTGCCCCGTGATACGCATTCGGAGTGGCGACCAACTTCCTCTGTAATCAGATTTCGTAAAAGATGCATCGGACCCGTGCGGAAACAAAAATCGGACAGCGTAAACGAACATCAATTTCGCCAAAATTTCGGGTCTTTTGAACCAAAATATTTGATAGGCCTACCAACACCACAAACGGACCACAGGCGCCAGGTTTTGAAAAACGTATAACCGGTTTCCTAGACGTCATGAACTTTGACATCTATTTGCTACCCTTGATAAAAAAAAAAATGCGTACGCTACAAATAATGAAATAAATATAATATACCTACACATTGTTTACTGTGGTTTTGAAATCAGTAGACTAAATCGTATTATATTTACCGGTATTAACCAAATAAATACGTAAAATGCCACTGGCGCAACCCGAGTTTATTTCGGAATGTATTATGAATTTCAAAAAGTTGATATACATACTCACAGGTTGTATATACAACGATAAATGATTGCAAACGATTCTGAGTATAAAGTAGTAATGTAATATATTAGTCGTATTTTTCCCTTGATTCCAAGGCTATTCAAAAATCAACAAATACTGAAGAAAAATGATATGGAGAATGGACTGCAAAAAATATCGTTAAACGTTCCAAATTAAGTAGATAATACCGTCAGAAATTTCGCACCGTTTAAAAGTACAACGTGAAAACATCAGAGCATTTGCCTAAAAGTGTTAAAAATATTTAAAAAGCAATTTTTTGAAAAAAAGTATTTAAAACCATGCTACAGTTAAAGAGAAAAATCCGCATTTTTCAAGGTATGATTAGTAATAAATAACAAAATCGGAATATTTTTACTTATTGTAAAACTATCTACTAATCTTCTAATCGTCATACTCAGAATAAAATTTTTTTTTTTTTCATTTTATGGGATTACTGGTAAATGATTAAGGGCTAAAGGCTAGTGTAGAATATACTTTTATTAGATACTTAAATAAAAGTATAAAAACATGCATAGCATACTTCGTACTATGGATAGGCCACAGACCATAGTTATATGTGGGAAGTTTCGATGGTATATATGGTATACGCAGTATAAGATAGATTATATATGTAAGATAATTTAGTTTGTATTTTAAAACCGATCATTACAAATTACAATCAAAATAAGATTTCGAGTGGATCTCGGAAATCCGTGGTACCTACGTCGTGTTTTTTTTTTTTAATCTGTTTGATAACCAAAATTAACAAAAAGACAGACATACTTCACACGTGAGTGCAGCCACTGTTTTAGGTGGGAAGTTGGGAAGCTAGGATATCTGTAAACAACGATAAACCATTGCTAACAAAAAAACGATTCTGAGCGAAATTCAGTTAATAGTATTGCTTTGTCAACAATATATATATATATATATATATATATATATATGGCATATTATGGTCAAATGGTTATAACATGTGCGTTTCTATGACAATGATTGTTTAAAAAAATATTAAAACATTAAAAACTTAATAATAACAAAATATAAACAAAAACGGTTGATAATAACAATAGTAGAAAAAGTGTTTACATAAAAAAAAAATAAAAATCGCTCTGCTCCACTCGAAATCTAAAAAGAGTCAACAATTGTATCATCATTGTCTTTAATTTGTCTAAATGTTTTAAAATATAATCTAATCGAAAACTAGAAGTGTTTCAAACAAATTACCGTAGGTTGAATAATTCGCATTACTTAAAGTACGACGTGAAGAATTTGGAGAATTTTTACTGATAAAAAAATAATGTTTCCGAGAAAAAAAATTCAAACGGATCGATTTGTATGTACAAAAAAAGGTGGGCATACTTCACACGTGGGTGGGCCACTGTTTTAGGTGAGAAGTTTGGAAGGTGAAAGGGAAATTTAGTATATATCTGTATACAGGATGATTAATCTATCGTAAGACACTCGTTATCTCAGAAAGTAATAACTTTTTCCAGAATTTGTTATCTAGAATATTTTAGAATGATTCTGATTTTTAAATGAAAACCTATATAAAAAAAATCCATAAATAGTTGAAGTAATAGTTAAAATAAATGTTAACATTTTTGATTCCCGTCAATCCGTTGACGAGATATTCCACTTTTAAGTTTGGGTTGGGGGAGAGTGATGGTGCATTAATACGCCGCGCGCACATATGGAAAATTCTCTTTCAGAATAGATGCCATACTTCATACTTTGGAGCAAGATTTCTGGTAGAATTATTGTACACAGTATACAAAAATAAAAAATAAACATCTTTGTAAAACCAATACATTTTTCGCTACACTCGGAATAAAAAACTCTCCAATGATGCGAATAGGCAATAATGGGATCCGCAATCTATATGCCACTGCAAGGTTCCGTTTCTATCAAATAATTATACTAAATTTATTTATTATTTATTACTTAATTATACTAAATTTCCAAAGATTGTTTATGTTTCCCCCCATAATTATCAATTTAAATCAATAACGTAACACAAACGCTCAATCGGAACCCGTCTGAATGCGTTAGTACACAAAGATGTTGATGTGCCGCGGTCACTGTATTATAGATACCATACCGTACAAATCTATTGGTTGATATTCGTGCAATACGTTAATATTGATATAATTTATATTTTATACCGGTGCCTATATTTATTCAGTATTATAATACTGTATCAAATTTTGGTCAGCCACGCGTCTATATACATTGTGTTATTATGTTACCGCTCTGGCAACCGTCCACGATACGAAATGTTGAACGTATTGTTTTTATTATTATAACTGCAGTAGACGTTTTTCCCGTTTAAAACGTTACAAACTAATATTTCACGAAACATTATTAGATTTATCCTTGAATTTCATAAGGCGCAGAAACCTTGCTCTTGAACAATAATATACGTTTTCGCGTGGGCACAATCGTTTTAAAATTTAAACGATTCATTCGGATTTAGAAACGATGTTCAATCGTTACAATTTTCGAATCTAATTACAAAATAATAAAAAACGAGAAATACAAAATTAAGTTTTTTTTTTTCGAATAGGTACTCACAAAGTCAAACGGTAAGCAAAACAATAATACAATTCAAATAAATTCACCGGATAATTGACCGGATATACAACACCAGTAGGTACCGACAATAACTATAAATATGATAAACGATGATATCGAAAAACATGCATTTTGCATCTTTTTTTTTAAAATACGGGAACTGGAAAAACATGTTTACTGTTTCCTCAGTATTTGGTTATGACGGTCGTAGGAAGTCCAAATTAATTCTTAAAAATATCAAACTAACCACGAACTAAATGGTGGTGGTAGCGGCGGACTGAGAGTATTTTAGCCCAGGCGGAGAAGGATATGAGCGGCCCAAAATTTTTTCTAAACGGTAAAAATTTAATACCGACTTAGTATAATATTATTTTAAATTATCCTAGATTAAGTTAAATAGGAGTTAATATAAATTTATAAAAAAAAATAAATACAATTAGTCGAACTAGTGGGTATTCTAAAAAAAACATTTAATGTCTTACCTTAATTTTAAAAAAGATGAACTTTCTCCGATTCTCGTCATTTCCAGCAATAAGTAACTCAGCAGCTCGTCTTAAGTGGCAGTCTTCAGCTTCACCCTTAAAGGGATTTTTAACCATAGAATTCTTGATTTTAATTTGCTTCTTTTACAATAAATTAGAATAGTTTATTAATTATTTTTGAAAATGTAATATATAACTCAAAATACGAAATAAAAACAAATTGCAAAGTGCTATATATTGCAAGTTACAAATTAATAGTACCTAGATAAGTATTATAAATTATTATTAGTGTACAGCCGTCAGCCATTGTTCGGTGATAACAAGTTATTGTTAGGTTTAGGCTTAGATCGGCTACAGGTGAGTTGCGGCCCGGCGTGTTATTTTTTTATGTCAATACCGGTGAACTATACATATGATCTAAGAGTTTAGGGTAGATACACCATTTTTCCTATAGAGTTTGGTCACAGAAAATATTAAATTTATTAAACCACTGAACTCGATAAACGTGCTCTGAAATATGACACGAATTTATTAGGTAGATATCACGAATTAAGATTCGTGATAGGTGCCCTAAACGTAGGTACCTACGTTTGGATGGTTTCTATTGAAAATAGAAGGAAATCTTACAACTAAAAGACGACGCACATACTTAGCACGATGGGTGGGTCACTATTATAAATTATAGTAGAGAAGTTGAGAAGGTAAGATAAAGAGGGGAAGATTTTAATGTATTTTTGTATGCGACAATTAAACATTGCTAACGAAAAACGATTTTCAACGGAATTTGGCGATACATGTTTTAAAAAGCCGTAATATTTACGATTTTCGTCAAAATTTGATATAAAAATTCTTATAAAAAAAATAAAAATAATACTACATTAAACTCAACTTTTTCTTATTAACCACTAAATACGACTTATAATGACATCCTTACTGTATAAAATCATAGTAAAAATGGTCAATCGAAAATATCACCTCTTTGTCCTTACTACTCAAATAATTATTATTTCATTTTTTAATACTTCAACGTAGATGCCTTGCTCAAAATACCAACCAGCTAGTCTTATATTTTTTGCTCATAAATATCAATGGCTTAAGTAAGGATTTTGGAATAAGACGAACTTGAGATGTAAGAAAATAATTTTTTCAGTGGATTATCACAAAATAATAAAATTTACCATTAATAAGTTTTAACAAAAAATATACCAAAATGTCACATTAACTGCTATAACTAGGGCTTACATTTTATAGTACTGAAAATAACTAAAATATGCTCTCTATTATGACCTAATATTAAAATATGTGCTATTAATATGACCTAAAACATCTAAAAATAAGCTATAGTATACCATAAAAAGTTTATTTTTATTTTTTCAAGTATATAGACTGTTCAATGGACCAACAAACCTGGCTACTTAAAAATAGATTATATCATGAAATGAAAATTTAAGTATTTTTCTAACAGATTCACATAAATGACAGATTATTTCTACTATTTATTAAAAATACAATATAAATCATTATATTATGCATAATAGCAAAAGATAGAACCAAAAATTAAAAACATAGTACTAAAATTCTAAAATACTACAAATATGTAAATAAATAGCAGTATACATACATGGGGTCTCCAGTACATAAAACAAATTTAAAGTTCACTAGGCTATTTTAATCTGTGTCCTATAATAGCATGTTTTATATATACATAAAAAAACAATTATAACATAATGATCTATTTTATATTGTATGAAAAAATGAAAACACTTCTTGTAAAATTTGATATTTAGTAATTGTATGACAAACTGTTGGTCTCTTAATCATTGATATGAAACAGACAACAAATTTCATTTTTACTTACAATTTTGAATACTTAACTTCATAAATATTTTCATATTCACAATGTAAAGGGGATAATATTATTACCTAAAAGTGGTTTTAAATTTGTTTAACTTATAAAATTTAGCCTACTAATATACCAAGCTATTTTATTATATAAATGAAATACTATAATATTGTAGTCTATCATAATGATTACAACGAATATAATGTTTAACTCAAAAAAAAGTTTACAAAGAAAAAAATTATGGTAGTGAGAAAGAATGATGACAAAAACATAGATAATCCCTCTTTGATTGCTGATCTATCTTTTGACACTACGAACCACCTAATAAAGTTTCATCAATAGTATGTTACAAGAGTATGTTAATTATCTATAACTCTGATATAATATTAATGGAAAAAATAAAAACAAAATTTTTATTTGATAAAGGAACATAAAATATAAATAATACACTTACAGACTTTGAACCCCCTGCAGAGGTTGTGATAGTAGTGTGAACTATGACACTGCTCTTAGCTGTTACACTTGTTTGGATTTTAGTGCCGCTAGAAGCTACAGCACTTTTTTGGATTGTGACACTTTTATGATATGTCATAAACAAACACGACATTGTTGGCTTGGTTGCTACCATTGCGGGTGATGCCGCTGCTGCGGCGGAAAGTGACACTATTGTGAGCTGTAACGACTTCTCAGGCATTGGAGCCTTCATACGTCGCAACAGGTGCCATATTATGGTGGGATGTCACTGAGCGACAAAATCCACCTTAGCCACCATTTTTGCTATTGCCACCCTTTCCGGAGTTCATACTGTAACTCGTCTAAAACAAAAACATACATTAATGATAATTCACAAATAATTATAAAAATCCAAAATACTACCAAGAATAGGCCACTGTTACAGGTAGGAAGTTTGAAAAGTAAAAAATTATATTTGAATATAAACACTGAAAGCAATGATAAATCATAGCAAACAAGAATTAGAAATGCTTCTGAGCAATAAGTGATCATGCTATATAATAGATATTTGGTATTAGATCTAACCAAAGTAAAATCAATATACTTTCATTTTTTGTCAGTTTTTTTATATTTATAATCTATTTAAAGAGAAATCTAGAAAAATTCCTATAATTATATGCAAGAGGCTGTAATCCCAATCTATAATTGATTATTATTATTATGATTAATTGAATATACACTTATTTTCTCTCAACTTTAAAAAATTATTAAGAATCATGAATTTAATGAAAATAAAAAATTGACACGTCAACAATTTTAGAAGAATAAATTCTATAAAATGGCTATCTTCAAAATTAATTATTCAAAAATAATAGTATAGAATTATTTTTTTCATTTTTTACAAAAACATAAAAGTTAATTACAATATAAATATTTGTAGTCATAATCCCAGTGTGATATATAAAAAAACTAGAATTTGATTATTGATTATCTTTATTATCTCTAAAAATATTACAATGGGTACTATATATCTTCATGGGACACTGTATATTAAATATTATGTGATTTTAGATTCGCAATGTAATGAGAGGATCTAATGGTTTTAGTATGTGTGTTTATTTGTTTCTGTTTGTAAACAACTTTTCAAACAAAAAACTTGCTCTAATCAAAAAATTACAAGATAACTTTGTATTGCATTTTGAATCCAGTAGGTGGGTAAGAAAGTGGTGTTTGGATTTTCCATTGAATTTTTTTAGTTAAATAAAACCAGAAAAAATTGTAAGAAGAACGGTAAAGTTTACAGAAATAATATGGTTTTATTATTTTCAATTTAGTTTTTTTGTTGTAATTCAGTTACAAATATTCTTAGAAACTTGAAATTTTGATAAAAAACTTATACTTGTCTCTTCTAAATGTAGTAAGTTTGAGTTATTTATAGGGTATTTTATGTTTGCGAATTTCTTTAAAAAATTTTTAATTGGTAGGTATATTACATTTATTATTTGATCATTCAATCATTCTGTTTGATCAAACAGAAATAAAACTAAAACATAAAACAGAAAATTTAACAGGAGGACCATTATAAGTTGTATAAGTAGTGGAAAAAAAAATTTTGAGTATGATGGTGGATTATCCATTAAATAACATTTGGAAGACCAACCATAGCGACTTACAAATTGCGTTTAATAAAACGTATTTTCCATGTAACATATTCTACAAGTTAATCAAAGTACAAGTGCGGGGGACAAAAAAATTTAAAAATAACGAAAAACGTCACACAACTTAAGAAGAGAAAAGAAAAACTTCTAGAAAAGTTAAAAATTCCGACTACTTTGACCAATTCTGACTGTACAACAAACAAGAAACTACGGGACGATTTTCGATATTATTATCTTTTTTTTTTTTTTTAATCACAAAGTACGACTTATAATAAACCTCCTGTTAAATTTGCAAGCATTTATGTTCAGTACAACAATTTTATCCAGTACCTACCGAATAAAAACTCATAAAATAAAAATGTCTATAAACAGTTAAAAAATAACTCAAATGTTTTGAAAATTTAAAAAAAAGGAATTTCAGTAAATATTTCAGTGTTTTTCCCCTAATATTATGAATACAACTTGAGAAATCGAAAAAATAAAATCCCTTTAAGTATCAGCCGGATACAATATCCTTTCAGAAAAGATACAACACCAGAAAATCGGGGCAATATTTCTAATATCTATAAATAAGTTGTTCACTGATAAAAAAAAAATAAAATAATTAACATCATTGTTAAACCAATACATTCTCCTAGGGGTACGTTCCAAATTTAGAAAAATAATGGCGATTCCGGGAGGGCCAGAAGGGACGAGAATTAATTGTTTTTTTGTTTTTTTTTTTTTTTCAATACAGGTACGACTTTAATCGAATAGGGCGGAAAAACTCATAAACGAAAATCGATCGGCGACATTATCATTGTACAATTTGAATGCCTATTATTAAAATACGGATAAATATCGGTACGGAATAAAAATAAATTACCCGATCGATTTCCGAGAGAGTTGTTGCGGTACCGCCGGGGACACTGAGAAATTGATTTTGCTTTTTTCTTGCGAAAACACCCTGAAACAAAACAAAAAAATTGTATAACGTGTCTCGGGCCAGTGTCTGTTGACCTACAGTAGAGATTAGGCCGGGCCGGCTACTCACTCGTTGTTGCAGTATAGTAATGCGTTTTGTCAACGACAATTAATTTATTGCGCCGGTGAAATGGAAGACTGCGCACAGTGGTCGACGACAGCGAAAAAACGATTAAAATCCTGAAACAGGCGAATTGAGAACGGAGAAAAGAAAAAAAAATTGAAAAGCTAATGGACACAATTGTACAATAATATAACAAGTGGTGGACGCGGAGAAGTGTGACGGCGAGATGTCAAATGGCGGCGAATCGCGACTTGTTATGCGGCGCCGTACCGTCGGCGGTGACGCGTCCGTTAGAAATCGCCCAATCACATCAATTGTTTTAAACATAATGGCGGGACGGGGTGACGATGAGCGAATTCGATAACGTTTACTCCGTTCGACGTTCGGTAACCGCGAAATCGGTCGTTTCGGTCATATGCATTGTTACCATAATGCGCTTTTCCTCGTCGACTTACCTCGAACCGCGTCACGGAGTTTCGCAATCCATTTTCGACCTGCTTTCCGTGGTCCCTGCAATCAATTGACAATTTTAAGTACACTCATATTTACACTACGCGGCCATCGATAATCGGGTTTTCTTCCGTTTTCACCGTTCATCGTCAAAGGTATCGGTATGACTACAGGAGCGCCGATGGAACCGTTTAAAGTTCTGTAATTGAATATTTTTCGCAATAAACGTACGATTGAACGCCCAACGGACAGGTTGGACCTTCGGTAAATGGTTTTTTTTTTTTTTTTTTTATCAGAGTATAACAATAGCCTGGTTAAAAAATATCGAAGGGATATTGAGAGCTCGCGGGAGATGGACTTGACTTGCAAATTGCGGTATCGGACTGGCAGATTCTCGCTAATTACTTTCAAAATACCAGCACTATTCGGAACTTGTTTCGACAAAGTTAAATGCCATTAGTTACGCGGCATCATTGTTACATTTATCGCGAAGACGTTGTTTCCAAAAAAATACCAATACAATTTGAAATAGTTTTGGACGAACCTGTAAAAATTGTGTACTTTATAAAAACAAAATCATTGAATTCAAGAATTTTTAAACAATTTTGCAAAGACATGGATAGTGCATATTATCAACTTCTGTTACACTCTGAAATTCGATGGTAATCTCGAGGTAAAGTGCTCGCTCGTCTATTTGAATTGAGAGATGAGGTAAGATTAATTTTTATCGAACATAAATCATTTTCGTTGAGTGAATGGGTAAATGATTATTCTTGGTTGGCTACTTTAGCATACCTATCAGATATATTTACTCATTCAAATGCGCTTAACTCAATTCTTCAAGGAAACATATATTCACATGTTTCAATTTTCAAAGTTGGAGATAAGATTGAAGCGATGATGAAAAAGTTGGAACTATGGAATCTCCGCCTATCAAAGAAGAATTACGATCCATTTCCAAAACTCAACAATTTTATTGAATCAACTGAAGAAGAATTGTCTAATAAAGATTCTAAATATTTGATACAACATATAGGTGATATGCAACTTAGCTTCCGTGATTATTTTCCTGTTCTAGATATAATAGTATAAATTGGATTCGACAACCTTTTGAAATTGATACTCATCAAATAAATGGATTAACATCATTTGAAGAAGACAGCCTTGTAAACATTTTTACAGATAGTAGTTTAAAAATACAATTCAATCAAAAGTCATTAGAAAATTTTTGGTTGCATGTTCGAAAAGATTATCCAGAATTATCGAGTAAAGCTCTTGAAGTTTTAATTCCATTCCCCACAACTTATTCATGTGAAAAAGCCTTCTCTACCCTTGTTGATATTAAGAATAAGTTTTGAAACCGAATAGAAAAAGTGGAATCTGTTGATGATGTTCAAAAACTTGTGATTCAAATGCGACACCAACCACCGCATCAGGACTTAATGATTAAGTAAATAAAATAATTTGCATTATAATTTTATGAAAAATTAAATTTAATAAAAATAATTATAAATGTGTATGTTTTGTTATGTCCACTTCTGTAATTGTAATATAAAATAATTATTATAATTTTGGTTATGATAACATGAGGTGTTTGTTTTGTAAGAAAGAAAAAAAAGAATTCGACAAAAAATTGGTTGGGGGTCCGCGATGTCTAAAAATCTTCGTCCGTGTTCTACAAAAGGTTAAGAACCGCTGGTCTAACAAATGGTAAACTGTAATGTCCGCCACGTACTCGAGCTATTTAGGCCACGGCCCCATCCGCACCTATATCCACCACGTATTGGAGCCGTATTACCCTCCTTTACATTTTTCTAAGCAAAGCCAGGCTACCCCGCCTCCGCCTAACCTAATTTTCACCTCCCCTATTGTCTATCATTGCCGCCGTTCCTCTCCCGTTTACTCCTCAAATTCCACGTGTTATCACGACGTACCACGTTAACGGAGGTTTATCACCAGGGCCATCCAGAGGGACCATTTATGCAATATTTTTAGAGGCCCTCTTAAGGTCTTGATGTATAAGATAATAGTACATAATATTATGTTAGGATTTAGAATTGCCCGATGTTACCCGTAACTCATTCGAACCGATAGTTTATGTAGTATCAATGAGGTAACACAATTGTATTTCGTCTCTGTAGACTGGTCTGTAGTAAATACAATACATTGTACAAATATATAAACAGGCGACGTTTTCAGTTATTCTAATTCCTAAATGATAATAATTACGATTAGATATTATTGACGATTTTTAGTTGCGGTGCACTGGTGTCAGAGTGACGAACGCGAAGAAATAACTAAATAAGAATAAAAATACCAAAATTTCTTCGTAGCTGAATTCGTCAACGCGCGGCACATCAAACGGACGGCGGCCAATTATTCGTAAATCATTGACATTGGTATTTACCCGTTGCGATGAGAAAATATCTTATTGTAAAAATCGGAAACCCGCAACACTATTATAGGTAAACCGTCTCATAGAATATAGACAGACTATCTGCACGTGGTAATATCGATATTGTTAACAATATTTTCGGGAGTTTTTCATTGGACTGTTCGTAGAAAACGGTAAATTTTATGTTTAAAGAAATACTCGTCATATTATTATTGGAATGTATGGTTTTGCGTTTTAAATGTATGTGCGGTTTTGTGGTTTATAAGAATGCGAATGCATATTATTTCAGTACATTTTCGAACTTTTTTTTAAAAAAAACAATTTATTTTAACGGACTATACAATAGCAACTTTAAAATTAATTACACAATTTCATCAGTTAGTTATAATAATAACCTATTCGTACCTAGTTAATGTTTAAAAATATAATAACGGTACCTATATCATATTTTCGAAAATTACGTTGTTTTATTTTCAATTACGTAGTAGTAGTAATAATTTAATAACATTTATGACTAATGACACCTTAAAATAAATCTGAACAATGATAATATAAAAATAAAAATTACAAGTATAAGTGTAAATAAGTATATAGGTATAGACATGTTGCTTTGTCTTTTTTTAGTTTTAACCGCGCCAAATATGTCCTCTATTTTTAACTTATACCGAAATAAAACACAAAACACGTAAATATTAATAAATAATAATATTACCTATACCTACCTAAATAACAATACTAGTTTTGTGTAAAATGATTAAATTATTTATTATTTGATTTAATTGAAAAACTCAATGCCCTTATAGCTTTTAGAAAAATATAATAGATATGGGATGAAAACAAGAGATTCAATTGAAAAGTAACTCAAAAATCGAGCACAGTCATCACCTCAAGTAAAGGAAAATTATATAATTTTGAAAATAAAATTTATTTTATTTTTAGTACAAAAATATGACACTTTAAAGCACTTAGAGACATTTAGACATAACTTATTTTTATCATACCATATAATTAAATTATTTAAGTCACTTTGTAAGGTAAGGCAATCCATTACGTTATAAATAACATTTTCAAATAATTCTGATAAATGATACAAAAATGCATATTTTTACATCATTAACAATTTAACATTGTCTAGAAATTGTTATTTACATTATATTATGACTTTGCTTAAGAGAATGATTCGATATACATAAGTGGTTGATGACAAGTGTACGGTAGACTGTGTTTCTAAATATTTGTACACTGTGATAGACCACATACGAAAAGAATAGGCCCTAAAGAAGTTTAAGTTCACAATGTAAAATATTCCGTTAAGAGGTCACTATACTCACATGTGCTGTCTCAGTCCAACTAACAAACAATTTAGCAAAATCTACCTTACGCAGTGTGCATAGAATATGATTAATGTTTAGTTATTATCCAGCAATAACAAAGCACTACTGGGTTAGCTAGTAATACATAAAGTAATAAGTATTATTGATTGTTGTTAATATTTTCACAAAAATATTAAAAACTGATTAAGGTAACTGTCAATCATCAAATGTATTATTTTATCATAAAATCACAGAATAATTAAATAATTGTTGACCGAATTAAAATAATGAACAATGAAATAATTAAAAAATTATCATTTAAATAGTGTTATATAAAATCACAAATCTGTCCACAAATTGTAGAGATGGTCTTTTTATCTTCTGGCTGTCACCATTTGTTCAGCTTTGGAATTTTTAATCGGACTATTGGTTATTTAGTTTGGTTCAATTAATAATAACTTTCAGTTAGGTTTTAGGACCAAACTGAAAACTGAAAACTGAAAAATCGAACAGTCCATAACATCACTAGATTTTATATCAATTTACAGAATACAGACTTATAAGAATTATTATGACAAAATTGTTGGACATGATTAAACATTTTTAATGATTAAATATTTCTTCATATCTGTATCAATATTCAAAAAAACTGTTTTGAAATTTATCCTTTTTTAAAATAAATAGAAAATTTAAAGTAGTAACTACATAATGTATCAAAAAATTATATTACAAATTAGAAATATTTACTTAAAATCAAAAATAATAATAATATAAACAATATAATAATCTGAAAAAGTTAGACAATTAACATAATAGATAGGTGTGTAATGAAATATAACGATACAAGTCTTAATCAATATTAATTTCCTTCATTTGTGTGTTTATTTTTTCTTAATAAATGGTAACTTGGTAACAGTTTTACCAGGAATTCACGATGACCTGCGGGAACCTAAAATATTTTAATCAATAAAGTTGGATCGATTATAAAAATTTTATTCTAAAATACAATTTATAAATCATTACTCACCGATGGCTTACAAAAAGCTTTTTGTCTAATGCAGTTTTTTCCATATACACATACACCATCTTCGATTGGTACAGTAGATGTTAAGCGACATCCAGCTCCAATAATGCAATCATTGCCTATTGATAGATTTCGACCAACATAACCTAAATATTTAAAAAAATTATTATATAGTTTTATTGAAAACAAATAGGTATATTTGGTAAAATTTAAATACACAAACTTTTCGATTCAAAAATATTATTGTCTCCAATACTGCTGACTCCATCAATAGTTGAATATACTTCAAATACATTATTAGAACCTATTTTTAATATTATCGGTTCCGAATGTTCATTTCCAGGTGCAAATCTATTAAATAATTTTAACTTAAATAAAAAATTATTGTTATTATTATCATTTAGTTAGTTATTATAACACTTATCAGAATGTTTTTTTTTTTTGCAATTGTGTTTACAACAATAAACATAAATCCTAATAAATGTTTAATAATGTAGTAGAAAAGTTAATATAAGAAAATTTTGTTTTTAAAAATTACCTATCTTCATAATTAATGATTATTGTTTGTATTATAATTACCTAATTATTGTATTTACATAGTTTTTTAAATAGAATGTTGGGAGTGCTATAAAGGGAGTATAATAAACTATGATCAAGTTTGATCAATGTTATATCTTGTGAACTAGTGATGTTGACCAAAATAGGTACAAACTAAAGTAATCATCTATACTATGTAACACAATACTATATAAGTGGACAGAACAGTAAATATTAATATTTCAAATTTTGACATAATTTTAACTTTTAAGAGCTTATTACTATTAACTGTTATGGAAATATTATTAATATTAAAAGTTCATATATTAATAGGTATAAATATTTAAAACTATGAATAGATGGTAAAAACAAATATTTTTATACTTAATTATAAATTAAATTTGGCTTCTTACTTATGAATAATGTTGACATATTCTTCAATAATATTATTTTCGCCTATTTCAATCGGTCCAGCTTCAGCTATTATAGTTACACCAGGATGAATTATAGTAGATGCGCCAAAACTTACTTGACCTTTTACTTTAATTTCTTTGCAAACCATAGCTCCTTGAACAATTTTAACTCTGGAAAATTAAATTTTTGTTAATAAAACTGCACTCTAAGTAAATCAAAACTTTGAAAATATATTGGTTTGCAATAATAATTGTAATAATTTATAATAAATAATAGATAGGTATTTATGTTTATCTTACATAAACTAGATATCTAGGTAGGTACATTGACTTACTTTGATGACATGTTTGAAAAAATGAAATAAAAATGGATTATACGTAAATATAAACTATAATTTTAATACAAATATGTACTTAATAACAAAAACCATCAAGTAACTATTAAGTATTTTCTAATTTCCAAACATATTTTTACATTTTAATAATCTATTTAATATTTATTGATAACAAACCGATTATTTTATCAAAAGTGATAACATTGAAGTGATAACTGATAATCTCGCACGTTTTTATGAAAAAAAGTAATCCTAGTACCTGGTAAACATTTGAAATATAGCTGTACATACTTTTTTTTATGATTATTCACTATTTAGTTGATTAATTTAAATTATTTACAAAATGTATGTTGTAAAAATTAATAAAATTGTATTTCTAAATAATAAACACCTTAAAAAAATCAGAAGGGTCGGATGTTGTTGTTATTCTATAGACTTTAGAAATGGTGATTTTTATTTTTATTAAATACAAATTTGTTATATATTTTAACTGAATTGTGTTAATTTGTCTATTTTTTCCAGGACAAAATCAAATATTACCTATGAAATATGAACCTAAAATAGTTGAAAATTCTAAATATACCATTTCAGATAATTTCATTAGTCAAAATTCTAATTCTAATCATAAAAAAAAGTTTTCTATTATATTACCACCACCAAATATAACTGGATCTTTACATTTAGGGCATGCACTAACAGTCACCATACAGGATATTATTGTTCGATGGTTTGTCATTTTAATTTGATTTGTAAATTATTTGCTGTTTAGTATATATTATATGTTTAATTAGGCATAGAATGAACAATGTAGATGTAGTATGGGTACCAGGTACTGATCATGCTGGTATTGCTACTCAAGTAGTTGTAGAAAAAAAATTATATGCTGAAGAAAATGTTAATCGACATGATATTGGTAGAAAAGCCTTCAATGAAAAAATTATGAAGTGGAAGAATGAAAAAATCACAATAATTAGAAATCAATTAAAAAATCTCGGTGTCACGTTGGACTGGGACAGAGAATTTTTTACAATGGATGAAGTAAAAACTTATTTTAAATCATAAAAATATATACTATAAAATCCTAATTTAATATTAAAAAAACAGATGATTTTATTCAAATAATTAGATGTTAATAATATTAATTTTTTATTACATTTACAGAAACAAAACAAAGCTGTCTGTGAAGCCATTATTAGACTATTTGACAATCAACTTTTGTACCGAAAATATGCATTAGTTAATTGGTGTTGTTCTCTACAATCTACAGTATCTGATATTGAAATAGATCATAAAGAAATTTCAGGAAGAACTCATGTTAGTTTACCGGGAACTAGCAAACCTGTTGAGTTTGGTATTCTTACAGACATAGCATACAAATTTCATAACTCTGGTGTGTATTTTTATAAAAACACTTTATTTGTTAAATAAGTTATATATAATTTATATTTGAATACTTAATAGATCAAGAAATTGTCGTATCAACTACTAGACCAGAAACCATTCTTGGAGATGTAGCAGTTGCTGTGAACCCTAATGACGATAGGTATAAAGGACTAGACAATGTTAAATTATGGCATCCTTTTAGAAAGTGTACCATACCAATAATTTATGACCATTCTATTGATAAAGATTTCGGCACAGGTAGTTTCGTACTTAACTTATATTATATTCATGATTTTTAAGTATTAAATTGTATTAGGTGCTGTAAAATTGACACCTGCACATGACATCTTAGATTATGAACTAGCCAGCAAACACAATCTTCCAATTATCAGTGTCATCGATGAATTCGGAAAAATATCATGTGAATATGATGAATTTAATGTGAGTTATAAATTAGGTTAGTTATTATGTTATTAATTATTATTAATAAATAATAATTATCAAATAATTATTGCTTATTATCAGTGTTTATGATTCTTTGACATTGATTAACTATCAAAACTTAAATAAATAGAAAATGAAAACTGTAGAAAATTATATATAAATTATATTATTATTATATTGATGTACTTTTGATAAATTAGATATCAGTAAAACTGATCCGATATTGAAATATGATATTATTGTGTATCACTAAAAAATATAATGAAAGACACTCATTATCTCAGAAAGTATATATTATTTACTTAATTTTTTTTTTTTTTATTATTTTGAAAATTTAAGAAACAAGCAGCTATAAAATATAACATTTCTATTATTTTTGAGGGAGAATTCACAACCTAATTTTTATTTTCAAATAGCAACATTTATAACAAATCAAATAAATGTATGAAGTTTTAGTTTAAATAAATTTTTGTACTGAAATTTTAACTGTTATATATGATAAGGGATTGTACTTTTAAGTTGCTCTACTCCTATCTCAATCTACACAACAACAGTTAAAATTTAAACACCAACATTTATTTAAAGTAAAACTTTCTATTTATGGAATTTTTATATATGGTTCTTTTTATTGCTAATTGAGTAGTGAGTTCAATCTCAAATATAAGGGTAATAAAAAATAATGGAAATTTAACATTTTATAACTGCTTATTTATTAAATTTCGTAAAATTAAATTCTGTGAAAAGTTAATATATTTCAAGAAAATGAGTACCTCATACAATATTGATAAATCTATATATTTATTTATTATTTATAAATGTTTAATTTTAGAGATTACCAAGATATGAAGTAAGAACTGCTATAGTTCAAAAATTAAATGAAATGAATTTATTAAAAGGCACAAGAGAACATAAGATGTCAATTCCCATATGTAGTCGTACTGGTGATGTAATAGAGCACCTTCCAAAACTTCAATGGTTAATAAGTTGTTTATTTATGTATTTTTTTTTTTTTTTTGATTGACTCTTTTCTTTTAAAGGTTTATTAATTGTAAAGAAATGGCTAAAAAAGCATCTGACTCACTTAGAAATGGTGAATTAACAATTGAACCTAGTCATTATCATAATCAATGGTTATTATGGCTTGATAATTCTAAGTATAAAATTAAATATCAATACACATTATGAAAGTAATAATCAGTAAAATTATAATTTATTCATTTTTAGAGATTGGTGTGTGTCTAGACAACTCTGGTGGGGTCATAGATTACCATTATTTGAAACTAAATATGGTTGGGTTGCAGCATATAACAAAAATGAAGCTATTAAAAAAATTGGAGCTAAATTTAAATTACCAGAAGAAGAAATGGCTACTTTAGACATTAAACAAGATGAAGATGTATTAGATACTTGGTTTTCTTCTTCATTATTACCATTTTCTTCATTTGGTTGGCCTGACAAGGTTAATAATTAAAATTGCTGAATTTATACAAAAATACATTTCAACACATATTTTTAGACTGAAGATTTACATAAATACTATCCCTTGAGTTTTATGGAAACTGGACATGATATTTTAACATTTTGGGTTGCAAGAATGGTGATGCTAGGAACCTATTTAACAGGATCGCTTCCTTTCAAAGTATCATTTCGAAAGAAAAGTTAAATTAAACATTTTTTAAAATTAATATGTATTTATATGTTTCCAGAATGTTATTTTGCATGGTATGATACACGACATTCATGGTAGAAAAATGTCAAAAAGTCTAGGAAATGTTGTAGATCCTGAAGATGTCATTAATGGAATTTCACTTGAGGTAATCACTTGAAATTTTCAATTTATACATAATCCAATGTGTTATATAAATTAGGATCTGCAAAAGAAAACTCACGCCAGTGCTAAATCTGGTGTAATATCATACGATGAATTAGAAAAAGCCTTGATAGGCCAAAAAAAATTATTTCCAAAGGGTATTAATGAGTGTGGTACAGACGCTCTAAGAATAACTCTTGTATCTCAAAACATCAAAAGTAAGTTTAAAAAAAATCAATTACCTATTATTTTGACTTTAATTTTTAAAATTCTGATTGTTCTTATAACTTAATTTAGATCAAGTTATTCACTTTAATGTGAATGATTGTAATCGGAATCGTATATTTTGTAATAAAGTGTGGCAAGCTACAAGGTTTGTGTTGATGTGGGTTGCTGAAAAAAATGTTTCTGATTATACAACAGTGGTTCCAATTAATTGTACACAATTGTGGATATTAAGTCGATTGGGAGATTGTGTTTCTAAAATTAACAATTCATTCCAAAATTATGATATTTACATTTTCGTTACAGAATTTAAAAAATTTTTTATCAATGAATTCTGTAATGTTTTTTTGGTATATATTTTTTTATAAAAACACATAACATAATATTACAATTGATAATTGTCATTTTATTTAGTGTATTTTAATTTTTTAAGGAAACATGTAAACCTATACTTGCACACGGGACTAATGATGAAATTCAAGCAACTTGTAAGATGCTTTTATTTATTTTGGATAGTTCTTTAAGGCTTATAAATCCAATTATGCCATTTTTATCAGAAACACTTTATTGTGTTTTGCCGGGAAAAAATAAAACACATGTTGCGCATACTAAATTTCCAGAAGCTATTGAAGTAAATTTTACTATATTAAACAAATATGCAAAACAATATTGAGTTATATATATCTTCATTGTTTAGTATTTAAAATGGCGTAATGAACAAATAGATGCTGATATGAATATGGTAAATGATATTATCACAGCAATACGAAAACTTCGATCTATAAATAATTTTAACAAAGTTCAATCTGAAAGTAATACAAATTAATTTCCAATTTTTTCATTTTTAATTGTATATTACATTCTATTTTCAGTTATTATACTTTCAAAACAACAGCAATCACTTAAAAAATATGAAGATATCATTCAACAATTATCAGGGACATCATCATTATGTTTCTTAGAAGACAATTCAAATTCCAAATTTAATTCTATTACTGATATTGTTGGAGATCATACTGAAATACATCTCCTTTTAAAAGTATTGTATATTTGATTTGAATATAAAGTAGGGTTGGCACTTGATAAATAAATTAACAGTTAAAATATAGTTGATATTACATTTTATTTATTTTAAATGAATACATAATAAAAATAATAAAATGCACTTGAGATTTAACAATATAATTATTTTACAAACTATATATTTTTAATCAATTAATGTTGACGTTAGTTGATCAAAATAATATGACTGGTCAAAAGCCTAACCCCAATTCTACAGTAAAATAATTTTTTTTTTGTAACTTAAAATAGAAAATAAAACACAAACATACCATACAAATATTAATTAGTTATCCCATATAAAATACTATTTTAAATGTTTAAATTATTCTGATTTTCAGGGTGAAAGTTTAGAGTATAAAAAATATTATAGTATTTTAAATTTAAAACGTCAAAGATTACAAAAGCAAGTAAATAAAATGAAAAAATCACGATCGCTTAATAAAGAAAACCATACTATGTCTGACTATTTTGAAGAATCTCAAGAAAATAAGGTAATAAACTAATAATTAATATTCATGATAATATATTTTAAGTTTTGGTGCAACTTCAATATACATGTCATCTCTGTGTCGAGCTACTGCGGCCTACCTCATTCGAGCAAAAAATAAATATCTATATTACAAAATTCCCTTATAAACATACAAATATTAATATTGATTTACTTCACACCCGTATCCGCAGAAACTTAGTCTTGTATAGCAAGCTTTTAGTTGTGGCACTAATTTTTATATCAGAAGGTTTAGAAGGTTTGGACCCGCAGGTTAGTAGTTTTATATTACACAAAGGTCCTACCCACTTCTATCCCACCAGAATCCTGCAAACTTTAAATTACTTTAACTATTTAAAACAAAATATACATATGATATTTATAATACATTATAACATACATACATTATTTTGAAAAATATTAAGCATGAAGTGTTAAAAATATATGTTAACAGCATTCTCAATTAGGAACCCGTCAATAGACTGAATATTAAAGTAGCATCTAAAATTCTTTTGTAATTATTATTATTGTCATGATTATATTTAAACTTTATTATTATATTATTATTTATGATTTCATAATCATTTAATATAGTTTGATAACTACTAAATTTTAAGTCAGTAAAATAATTTCTAAAAAAGAATGTCTATGGTTTCCATATAAAACAATATCTAATATTGTGTAATCATTCTGTTAGTTCCTATAGATTCATCAGTGATGGCACAGGTAACATCGGTGTTGTTTCTTTTGAAATCAAACATCCCTGATGTAATCTCTAATGGCCTTATAACTCACCACATTAAATAGGTGGTTAAGATGCTGTAATAGATTTGCTATATGCTGATAACCATTAATCTTACTCTTATATTAATAGTATACTTTATATTAGATAGCATTTGTGACAATTCCACTACAAACACCGAAAATCCTTGAAGTTGTTTATTTGTTTAAGATAATATATTTCATAAATTATGTTATTTTACAGAAATTCTTTATTAAAATTTTCATAAAATATTTGAAAAAGAACATGTGTTTTTCCATAGACATTTACCTTAAGTTGTGGAAACATATTTTCAATTTAGATTTTAATTTTAATTAAGTATATTATTTTGTTGTTAGTAATACATTTTATACTGTTTAGATGCATTCATTGGTGGAAGAAATAAATAGAATAACTATGTACATGAACACTATTAAAGAAAAAACATTAATATGAAACTAGATGATTTATGAATAGGAAGAATTCAAGTAAACTAGACTATACAATAGCAGATAGACAATAATATAACTTTTAATCAATGTAATAGTTTATGATAATTCATATCAAAATATGTTTATAAATTAAATAATGTCTACATAGTAGTATATATATATATATATACATTACATATATATATATAACATAAGTAACTATTTAAAACTGTACTCTGTGACTCAGTGTAACACTAAATATGTAATACATGTTATACATTATATTTTATGAGAATAACTATTTAAAATTTGTAAATAAAATTATTTTTGTGTCAATCTGTTATTATATTATGTACCATAATGCAATATTTTCTTATGTAAAGTTTATAATAGTAATCAATGTTGTATTTAGTGCCCTCCCATTTTGAAAAATGTTTTTTTCCCCATACTACTGTGGTGAAGTTTACATAAATGTGTTACATTAATAAAATGTATTATTAGTAGTATTACTATTTAGGTATAAATTATCGTAAACAAAAAACAATTCAGAATTAAGTTTTGTTATAACATATTTTAATAAATTTACATTAAAAAATGTATTAATTTATAGCTACCAAATAAATTACAGTTGTTTGTTTTTTTAACAAATTTTATTATAAATTTGAACTTGTCTTATAAAAATAAATTGCAATATTTTTATCTAGCATTAACAAGTTAGAAAAATATACCAGCTGTAGTCGTAGAATTTATTCTTTACCTACTTTACAGAGTATATATGCCTACCAACAATGACTCAATGATTGCTATATTTACTTATGATATGGCAATATTAACAACCAATAAGAATGACTGTGACTAATAACTTACATAAATCCAAATAAAATTAAAAAGAATCAAAAACTTCAAATAGTTATAATGCTAAAGATAATTTTAATGATTTTAGGATATATTTGCTTTATCTTTAGACATTTAAAATCATAAGCATGACTCATGATCATTCATAATAGTTTTAAAATAGATGTACGTCCAGGAATTATCAATCCTAACATAAAATTGTATCTTTCAAGGTTTTACCAAAACATACATTCCTGATTCGTTACTGACACTAAATAGCGTTTTGACTCTTTCTTGCTTGATTGACAAATGAAAATAAAAATTCCACCGTATTCCTACCTACTGTCTTTCGAACACATATTATTTACAATTTAGCAGACATTTATTTTTAGATTCTGAGTGGAACAAAGAAGCTTATAGTTTACAAAGATATTTATTTTATAGACAACATTTCTGTCAGAGAACTTGCTCCGATTTTTACATGTAACACTTTTTCTAAAAGGAAATTGATGTGGAGAGGTACTTTAAAGGAGGTCATTTTAAGTAGATTTTGTCCAAAGTTTTCTCAACTAATGTGAAAAATCTATAAAAAAAAAAATTGGAAAATGTAAGAAATGTAGGTATTAGCTAAAACTATTATTCCCTTCTTTTTTCCTGTAGAAAACTTTTTTATCAGTAATCTTGCTCCAATTTATAATGATAAAAATGTTTCTAAAAGGAAATTTGACTGGGGAGGTACTTAAAAGAGGTTTTTTTTCGATTTTCTCAAGAGTTTTCCCAGCAAATGTGAAAAACTAGGAAAAAAAACACGGGAAAATCGTAACAGTAAACAAATATTATTAAAGATAATATATCATATTTTACTGTAATATGACATATATATTGTTGACAAAGCATCACTATCAGCTGAACTCCGCTTAGAATCGTTTTTTCGTTAGCAATGATTAATCGTTGCTAACAGTTGTACGTTAAATTACCTAAAACAGTGGCTGCACCCATCCCCATTATCCTAGGATGTCTTTTTATATTTAATGAATTAACCTCACCCCAATATTTGGCTTTCAAGATGATCTTGTTAATGATAAACGAAAAAAAGCAAGATTAGAATATTGTACGACTCAATAAAATAAAATTTATTTAGGTACATTCATATCATTAAAATAAAAACAATTACCAATCATTGAATCAATTCAACTAAGTACCTACCTACATTACACTTTAACACTATATCCAAAAAAATTATAAAATTCAATTCGATATCCTTATGTTTAACCAAACTTCGCCCGGAATCGGTATTCGTTATTAATGGTTTATTGTTACGTTGGTCTTCTACTCTTTCGTTTTCATCCAATAAATTTAGGATTTTTTTTGTGGGGGGGGGGAGAGACTAAATATATTATTTTTAAATAGTAATAGTATTTGAACAAACATCATGTGAAGAATATGTAAGTGGAAAAAGAGATATACCGATTTGCCTAATAGCTATAGCATATAGCATATAATAGGTACCTATACGATATTTATGATTTAATATTATTGACTTTAATTGATTTAAAGCTAATGTTTGTGATTTTTAAGTAAAGTGCATTTGACGTTTTTTTCCGTGTCGTATTGCTTATTTATAATTTATTCCTAAATTCAACGTACCTAAACTTACCCATTTTTTGATAGAACCTTATTGAAGCCAAAAGAACAGCTCGTTAGAACCGTAATTTATCCGATACGTATTCTCATTGAAAGTAAATTCAAACAAAACATTTTGACGAAACGATATTTCATCCGAAAATCACAATATTTCTGTGTTGTATTGCCAGTTACCATTAACGCTAATCGCTAGATAAGTAGGTGCCTCCTAGTTAATCGTCATTTAGACCAATAATTACGTTTCGGTTAAATTATTTTCAGATAAAATATTTTTCGTGTATTATTGTTTTCTTATCTAATATTATTTTTCGGGTTTTTTTTATAGGTCACCCATCATAATATATAGATATCAACTCTTTAATAGTTAAACACATATTGTTAAAATGTTCGCATCGAACGTTTTTTATGATCGACAAGGAACCTTTCTGAATATTAAGTTAGAAAGCAAAATCGACTTTCAGAAAAAAAATGGAGTCTACCTAAACCGCCGTCATGCGTGCTTTTTGTTTTTTTATTGTTACTGTACATTAATATGATATTTTACTACTAACCGCGTGCTGCGTGTGCGGATTAAAATTCAAAGCTGAACGCAATATTATTATGGTCATTATGGACGAGACACGAAACCCAATGACAAATAATATATACGAGTTTTAGTTCGACAATTTCGGTCCTCAATGAATCAATGCAGTAATCAGTATTCAGTAATCACGGGTATTTTAAAATTGGTTATAAAACAATAGTATTATCATGTTTTTCGTGATTACCTTTATCTATCTCTGAACGCACGCATTTATAGTGTACTCGCAATTTAAAATTACTTGCACGCTCGCATGCTATCCACCAAGTCAAATGTACATCTCTGTAACTCGGTTCGATTTAACCACTTGTCCTCGACGTGAACGACGAGCAGCGAACGTCTATGGCGAAAACCAAAAACGTTCAAAGAATCCTGTACAAAAATATGCAGTACCTACTTAGGTTACTTAATTATTGAGGTATACCTCAATCAAAGTGACATTTTTTTTTTTAACTTTTAAGAAATTCTCAGTGCAGTATAATTCATTACTTTTTGTCTCTAGATCCTTATTTGGGTTAGCAAAAATGCTCCGATGTTTTCATTCCATATCAGTATAAAGTCATAAAGATACGGATTTTTTCTCCTAACCGGTACCTTATTTAAAGTTATAACTCGTAGATAACTCTATAACTCTCGTATATAACAATACATTTTACGAAAACGGTATACGATTATAGGTATAACCAAAATCATTGACAATGGCATGTGTCTTGCGTATGTGTATTATACTGCAAGTCATACAAATAATAAGTACCTACCCCATTATTTATGCACGAAAGCAATAAAACATAATAATATCTATTATATCATTACACAACTTATTCTATTTCCTTATAGGCATAGCCCTGATTTTAACGATTTTTGAATTTCTTCATGATAATTTTGTGACACGGGATGACCTATTTAATTATTTTTGTTAAATAAATACTGAAATACATTGTGATAAATTATGGTACGATTTACTGTATAGGTAAATACCCAAAATAACTGTAAAATATTTTAACAATATAGTGTAGTAAATATAAAATTTGTTAATGAATGCATCATCTACTTTAAGGATTTTTTATGGACCGATTTCATAATAGACATCTAATTGATAATTTATCATCCAAAATTGAACATATTCATACAGGTATATATTATAATTTTTATTTGTAAATCTTGAGGAATATTATACTTTACAATAATATATATTATGATACAGGTAAACATTATCGAATTTAATTTTGAAGACTAGTACAGTTGTACTGTTAGGTATGCACTGAAGAATAATTCTTTATAATATGAAAACTCTTAAAATAATTGTTTTTTATAATTTTTACTTTTTTTATAAATCTCTTATAATGATATATTATTGTTAGATAAAATCAAGTATCTACCTACTACATGAATATAATACATATAGGTAATATAGATGTCTATTTGAATAATATTCCAACTCGAGAGTCTTTTATTATTAGACATAATATAATTTACGAAGAAAAAAAGGTAAGAAATCTATTCTATGTAAATAGTAGTAAAATAAAATATTAATAACCTATTGGCTATTATAGGTGTCTATGTACCTATACATACACATTAGTTAAATATTAGATATTTATTTTAAAATTGAATAAATTATGGAATAGATTTTTTTTTAAATCCGCATTATTTGTTTTTCGTACTATCATCTTATAATACCTACCTACCTATACAAATATTAACAATATAAACATTCATTATTATTTTAATAAACACTTATGTAATCAATTAGACGATAACAAAGAAAAACACACCCGTGAGCAGCAGTCGTAGCCATCACAAGAATCAAATTTTCTCCAATCTATTTTATAATAAGTACTTGTAGAAATATTTTTTTCCTAAACAATTAATAATCAATTATAATTTTTTAGATACAACCATATTACCTCCAAAAAAAAGTAAATTTTGAGCATACATATGGTAAGAAGAGGAGTTGAAAGTTGAAACCCCTAAGTCATATCGTTGATACTATAACGCCACACATAGTTAATCTATAAAATTGCATCCTCCTGGTTTAATTTAAAGGGTCTGTAACCTGTAGAAGTATTCAACACTTGAAAAAAAACCTTCCTCTCGCAATATGGTGAAATTCGTAAGGAAATTCAACCAAACTTTTATCACTTAAATCTGCCTATAAAACAATTCTAATTCTCGAGTTTATGCTCATTTACCCAGAAGGAACCGTTAAAAGTGTACAAAAGTAGCGGGGAGATATAAGTAATGTATTTTATTATATATAATATATAATATTAGAATAGTACCTAATTATTTTTAATGTATCAAAATTCTCCCAGCCGCGGTTCAAATGTTTACTCTGTAAGGTCTTAAAATTAACTTTAATAACATTTTAGTCAATCAAATTAACACATGGTAATATGAGTTTAAAGTTTAAACTATTACAAAATATTATCAACATTTAAAGTATTTGACAAATTATTATTTCTTATAGTATTAATTTCAATGGAAACATGTTTTACATAAAATATTGCACATAACTATTGCTATTTAAAAGTTGTAAACACATCTGGTCTATCAATCTATCATGATAAGTTTAAAAGTTATAGGATATAAAATATCAAGTAGTCTACAGTTGATCGCTGTTCACTGGGACAATAAAATAATATAAAACATAGCTAGAAAACTAATGGATAGATCATCAATCATCGGTACACGAACGAATTTCGAACAAAATTGGGAGTACTAGAAGTGCCAGCTGGAACAGGACTAGACATTTCTTCTGCAGTTTTCGATACTTTAGAAAGTTGGGCGTTGCTAAACAAAATTCAACCATTTGTTTTTGATGCAACTGATAGTAATTTTGTAAAAGTTTAAATTTATGCACTTATGTCGGCACGTGTTAATATCACTTAATTGACTTAAAAGTCAAAAAGACTTAAGTAGTTTATTTCTATAAACCTTACAGAATATACATTTGACCCATGTTCGGGTGAAGTCTGATATTTTATAAATATGTGGCATCCTAACATATATTATATATATTATATAAATGTATGTAATACTAAAATATGTGTAATGATGAACACAGTAGACTGAAATAGTCTTTGTTTTAGAGAAAAATTCGAATAAAACCAAATGATAACTCAAATGTACAATTTTCGGTTTGTTTTAATGTTAAAAAAAAAAATAATAATAATCACTACCATACGATAGAAAATAATAATAATAGTTTTATAAATTCTTTATGAGACAGCTGAGTTTTTATTACTTTTTACTATAGGTATATAGTATATAATCCAATAATGATTCATAAATACCAGCAGCAACACTGTATATCCCTGCATTTTGAAGGTACCTTTGCATAGGTAAGTACAAAATATAATAAAATAATATATGAAAAGAAATTCCCGCGCATTGGTGTGAAAACGGAATAAGTTTATATATAGGTGCCAGGTTATAATATATAAAAGTTTCAGATTCCCCTATTTTTCACGTGTATCTATATAATACATTACTACTATAGACATCACAATGAACATAATATTAAAGGTACATGTGATCCACACGCCAATAGTATCTACGTATACCTATTTTCAATAAATTTGTTATTGAAAATACGCACAATTTTAAACAAATATTATAAATACCTAGGATATTTTTAAAACTGTTTCGTTATAACAAATATCTCCGATTTTATAATTTATAAACGTTGTTTCATTATGGATTAGTGAATAATTCCGTCTATGCTTAAAGCATGGTTTCCATTGATCAATTTATTTTTATCCACTTCTCATCTCTGCGTCTCAAATCCGTGTATCGAACACTCAAACGTGTCAAGACTTTACCGCCCTGGTCCAATCTTTTGTAATTGGTGGGCCAATTTATACATTTATATAGATATAAACACTAAAGGCCATCGAGGTAAAAAAAATAACATTTTTTGGTAGCAATATTAAGTTTTAATAAAGCAAGAGTATCAATAGAGTATCTTCAGTATAGGTATTTATCAATTTTACGTATTTTGTTTTTAACTGTATGCGTGTGTTTGTGACACGAACATGATTTTTTGCTACGCCTATTCCATTACTATACTATTATTGTTTGCTACTGCTATATCTGTGAATCAAATAAATAATTTATTATTCTATAAATATAAATTAATTTATAAACAGTGATTTTAGATTCTAAGGGGATCAAAGAAGCTTATGGTTTTACAAAGATGTTTGTTTTATTTATCTTTCTGCACAACTTTTCTACCAGAAACCTTCCTCCGATTTTTAAGTAAAGCACCTTTTCTGTATAATATTTGTATAATATTACGATTTTTTTTTCTGTGATCAATTTTTCTACCAGCAATTTTGCTCCAACTTATAATGATAGCAATGTTTCTAAAAGGAAATTTGACGGGAGAAATACGTTAGAGAGATACATTTTCAATTTTCTCAGGAGTTTTCTCATCAAATTCGAAAAACCGGGAAAAACGTAGGAAAACTGGGAAAATCAGTACAAATTAAACACATATTATTAAAGAAAATATATAAAGCCTATTTAATTATTTTACTATAATGCAATATACATATTGTTGACAAAGCATCACCATCAACTGAACTCCGCTCAGAATC